GACAGGTCCCCAGGCCCCTAGGATCAAGGGCTTCATCTGTCCCCTCTTGCCTTCCAAGCCAGAGGAGGCGGCCCAGGGGATTTGGGCCACAGTGGTCTTGATGGACCCACCCTCGCCCTCTTTTGGGACCCAGCTGGCCACTAAGTGGGGTGTCCTCTCACTGGACTGCCTTCTTATGTAGATAAGTGGAAATTGCTGTACTAACTGGCAACTTGGTGTTCCCAGGCCCGGCCTCCAATCCTGCCTCCATCATAAGCCAGCTTATGCTCCATCATAAGCTCAGCCCTGTGGAGCCTCAGGTTCCTCCTCTGTACAATGGGATAGTTCCTCCCTTCGGAGTCGTCTTGATAAAAATGTGTTCAGCGGTCAGTACAGGGCGGGCACTTGGTGGGGGCCTAACCACTGGGTTATTACGTTAAATAATCATGGTTATAAGAGGCCAAGGGGCTGCAAATTCCCGGCAGCTTCAGCCCACAGCAGAATGAGAGCTCCACGAGGGAGGGGACCTTGTTTGTCTCCTCGGTGGTTCCCTTCCCGCAGCGACCGGCGTACCAGGCATATGGTCGGTGTGCCATAAATGTTGAATGAATGAATGAATGAATGAATGATGACTAAAGGAGCTGACAAGTGAATGACCAGCTACCCCCCACCGGCCCCAGTCCAAGCAAGGACATTCAGCTCAGGAGTGTCCTGCCTCTCCTGCCCCTGCCCGGGATCCTATCGCTCTCCGCTTCTGAGCAACACTCTTACCTTCTGTGCGCCTCAGTTTCCCCCTCTGTGAGCCGGGGGGTGTGGGGAGTGAGGAGTAGGGGCTGGATGAGCGCAGCCTCCGAGGTTGCCTGGAGGGCTCCCGGCCCAGGGCCGGCGCCCCCCGGGGCCCAATCCGCGAGCACCGAACCCAAAGGCGACCCCCGCCTCCTTTCTGCCAGCTGCACGCAGTACCCGCCCATCCTGAGAGGCTTCGGCCCCGTTTGCACGTGACCCCGCCCCGCCCGGCCGTCCCAGCGCGAGCTCCCATTGGACAAGTCAGGCGTGCCCCGCCCCCGTCCGGGGCGGAGCTGGAGATGCCCCTCCCGCCGCAGAGCGGTTCTCCTGCGTCCCGACAGTGCGCGGCCGCCGGACCCGGCTGGAGGGCGGGCGGGCGGAGCCGGGCCCGTGGGGCTGCTGCTGGGCGATCCGGCTGGGCTGCGGGCGGCGCCATGGTGAGCGGGGCCGGGCGGGCTGGGCGCTTGGTTGGGGCGGGGGCTTGCAGGAAGGGAAGGGACAGCCCG